GAAGGAGAAGGGGAAAGGGAGATAAATAGGGCAGGATGAGAAGATAGACATATGCTATTGTTGATCAATGGTCTTTGAAAGACTTCAGATAAACAGATGGTTAGCAGAGGGTTAGAGAAGAACACATTCCATCTTGAGGGAAGAAAAAAGGGAGAGAAGAGAGAAATTGGTAAATAGATATCAATAGAGGCAAATTTGATCATTTGCAAAACTTAGGTAAATAGATGACCTTCATTACTGGTATAATTCTGAGGTACATTATTAAAAGGGATGATTATTGAACATCCAGTGGCTATGGAACTAGAGGACTTGTGTTCAAAGTCATCTTAGGAACTGAGTTGTGTGACCTTGGGCAATTCCTATGGCCAAAAGAAGCAGCATTATAGAGAATTAGAATACCTTCATCCATAAAAGGTAAGATCAGGTTAATTTCATTTTCTTTATTGAAGTGTTATAAGACTTAGTTGGCCTATATTTTAATAAATAATTTGATTCTCTCACACAATTCATGTACAAAATATGAAGAGATGTCAACTAGAATATTGTGCAATAATAAAAATAATATTAGTTGACACATATTTAGTACTTACTATGTGGCCAGTATTGTGCTAAGCACTTCACAATTATTATCGTATTTGACCCTCATAACAACCCTGGACGGTAGGTGCAATAACTATTTGAATTTTACCGACAGAGAAACTGAGGCAAATAGAGATTAACTGACTTGCCCAGGATCACAAAACTGACAAGTGTCTGAGGCTAGATTTGAACAGTCTTCCTGACTCCAGGACTAGCACTATATCCCCTGTATCACTTAGCTGCCAGTGAAAAGGATATAGAAATGGTCAAATGGAGGGATCAATAGAGAAATCATTAATAGTTCCTCTCTCCTTGGAATGAAGTCTATGATAAATTTCCTTAGGAATCAAAGCTTGCACATGGGCTGTTAACTTTTTTTATCAGTGATTTCCCTGCTTATCAAATTTCTAGATGGAACAAAGCTTAGAGGAAGAAGCAACCTCATGGAACATGGATTCAGAGGCTAAAATATAATTTAGCTGGCTAGAATATTGGGTAAAATGGAGTAAGATAAATGTTAATAGGCTTTAATGTAAATTCTTCCATGTATGTTTTAAAAAATCAACTTCAGAAGTATGGGATGGAGGAGGCACAATTAGATAGCAATTTGACAAAGATTTGGTGATTAAAGTGAAATGCAAACTCAGTTTCGTGTTAGAGTGCATTAATTAGCAGAGGACACTAGATGGCCTGGAGTCAGGAAGACAGGAGTTCAAATTTGGTTTTAGACACTAGCTGCATGATTCTGGACAAGTCACCTAACCCTGTTTTTCTCAGTTTCTTCATCTGCAAAATGAGCTGGAGAAAGAAACCACTCCAGTATTTTGTAAGGAAAATCCCAAGTGGAGTTACGAAGTTTAGGATATGACTGAAAATGACTTAACAGCAACAATACTCAGGGTTGGGGAAGTGATGTTCCTGCTGAACTCTGTCTTCTCTGAACAAACCATACCAGTGTTTTCATGGATAGCTCTAGGATTGCCTTTTTGGTAAGACCATAGACACACTGGAAAGGTCAGAGGAAGGCAATACCTTTAAGATTATGCTATATGAAAATCAGCTGAAGGAACATGGGGATATTTAGATTGGAGGAGAGAAAGAGAAAATGGAGGGGCATGAAAGCTGTTTTCAGGTATTTGAAGGGTTATCATGTGCAAGTCACATTATTTTGTTCTTTGCCCCAAGACCTCTGAATTTCCTTCTCACTCAGATTCTGTGATTCTATGAATAGGAAGACAATGAAAAATGGAGGAGGGAAGAAAGGGAGGAAAGGAGGAGTAGGGTAAATGATCAGTGAGAAGGGGTAGGTGAGAGGGAAGATAAAGTAGAGGAAAATTAGGGAGCAGAAAGAGAGAAGATAGAGCAGTAATAGCTCACAAAGTAGAGGAGCAGGTGAAGGTAGTTCTGATTCCTGTTCTGCCATGGATGGTTTTGCACAACCTTGTTGAAGTTTGCACAATCAACCAGGCTGTCAATCATTTTGCAGTCATCTTATTTACTGAACACATATTAGATATAAAATCCTGAAGTAGGGATTTCAAAGGGGATTTAAGTTTTGTTTTTTTTTTTCCCATCCCACTTACTGTATTCTGTTCCATATCCTTTGTAACCCACAGAGAGAATACAAGACAGGTTTAGGCTGATTATCAGGAGGCTAAGCACTCTGTCATGACTTTGCCACTGGCTGATGGTAGGAAAATCTCTTCTATCTGGGCTTTGGCTTCCTCATCTAAAAAAATCTAGGTAATACAAATAATCACAAATGAATAAGTGAAAAAAATTGATAAAGCACATCTATTAAACTCTTCTGCACAACACTGTTCTAAATGCTAGACATGCTTACAGAAAAGTAAGATAGTTCCTGGTCTCAAGGATCAGACATTCTCTTAAGGGCAGATGACCTACAGGGTAGGTTTCAGCTCAGATGGAAAGGTCCAGTGGTCCTTTGGGTACAGTGACAAAGCAGATGACAATGAGTCTTCTTTTGTGTCATTTCCATTAATAAAGCCATAGTGGTTTCTGATGTTGAACCTGACAATTTTCAAGGAATTTGGTAGTAAGAACTTTATTTTCCTTAAAACATAAAGATTAATACTGCCATGTGTCACATAGTAGGTACTCCACATACACTTGAGAAATAATAATGACATTTAAGGCCTCTCTGGTTCCATAAAACCAAGGGATTAATTTCATTAATCACTGAAGAACCATGAATGATTTTGAATTCAGCAAAGAAGATATTGAGAGGCTTAGAATGATTTATAGGGCAGTCCTTATAGGCTTGAAGGAGTAGCAGAAGCATTAAATACTTTATTGCAATGTTATAGGTGACAGGAAATGACTGGGAAATCTAGGGTTTTGGCAGTCGGAACAGAAGAATGAGAAAATAAGAGAGATAGTGTGGGTGCAGAATTTTATGCCCAGTTTTTTGAACGTCCAAAGGGATAATTAAAAGGTGCTTGAAAATGCTGTTGTTAATCATATAGAACTATAAAAATATCAGGCACTTTTATAAATGAATGATAAAATGACATAATTTGGTAAGTAATTTGCTATAGATGAGGGAAGAAAAAAACAATAATTCACTTTCTAATATGTGAATTTTGGATTATCTCATATCAAGATTGAAGGGCTAATACGTCTAGGTAGGGCCATCATTTTGCAAATGACTTATAGATATAGAGCAAGAATGAGAGTGAGAGCGAGAGCAAAAGAGAGACAGAAAAAGACAGAGAGGCTCAATTCTCTCTCACCACTGTAGTCCACCCATATTAATGGTGCTGCAAAAATCATTTTTTTATGGTCTGATCTTGTCAATACCCTCCTCAGTCAACTTCAAAGGTTTCCTATTTCTTCCAAGATAAAACATAAACTCTTCTATTTGACATCTAATATCCATAAGTTCCAAACTGTCTTTCCTACATCAGTGAACATTACTCCAACTTCTACATCCTTTGATTCAGACAAAATAGCCTCTGACACACACAAAACGTTATGCCTCCCTTGTCAGTACCTTAATGTTGACCAGGCCAAATACCTGGAATATTCCATCTCTATCACCTGCCCACAGAGTCCCCCTCTTCCTTTAAAATGCAGCTCAAGTACTAACTTTTGTATACTTCCCTCCCAAACTATCTTATATTTAATTACTTTGAATTTCACTGGCAGTTAGGTATCTCTGGGGAAGAACAATAGAGCTAGTGTCTGGGAGATCTAATTCAAATACAAATTCCAATCCAACTTTCTCTATGACTCCAGACACATGCTGGGAAAGCACTCCCTGTACTACCTCCTCATGAAAGAAAGAAGATTCAAGTTCAAATATGGCTTCAGACACTTACTAAATGCATGACTCTGGGAAAGTTAATTAGTCTCTATCAGTCTCAGTTTCCTCATCTGTAAAATGGGGATAATAACACCTATCTCTGAAGTTTACACTAAAAATAAAGTGATCTAATATGTGTAAAATGCTTTATGAACCATAAAGCACTATAATCATGCTAGTTATTTTCATGATTATGTATTTGTATGTATTCTCTTTTTATTTGTCCTCTATAGTTTTATAAATGCATTTGTCTCTGCCATTTGAAAATAATTTCCTTGGCTTTAGGAATAGTTTCATTCTTTGTCCTTGTATCCTTGTCACTTAGCACAATGCCTGGCACATAATAGATGCTTAAATAATGCTTGCAGATGATTAATTTCTTGAATGTGACCTTTGAACTCAGGAAAGAAGTCAGAGATAGAAAAACAAAGATTTGGCAGTCTTCCACATGGTAAGTACAGTTTGGACAGTAGGACTGGATGAGTTCATCAAAGGAAAGAGGGCAGAGAACAAAGAGATGGGTGGTAAGGACACAATGTTGGAAGAACATCTACATTTAGGAGGCAGGAAAGAGGAAGAATATTTATTGAGGAGGATTTTGATAACTTGCCAGAAAAGATAGAAGTACAGAAGATGTTCGTCTTATAGAAGCTCAAGAACATATACCAGCACTGATTTTTAGAGGTCTGGCAACTGTTTTGCCACTATAGAAGATAAGCAAGGAAATGTATAATTCTATGACATTCAAATTGAGAATGAATGCTTCCAGTCCTTGGGGGGTGTATGGGACACAGACATATTTTCATTAAGATCCTTCGTATCACATTACATAAAGCCAGCCATGGAATTAACAGTAAACATCAAGCAATGATTAACACTCACTGCAAAGTGAATGGTGCACTACACTGCTTCTATTTTATTTTCCATTCTTGAGGATGATTAATTGCTTGAAAGAAAATGAATTTTTTAGAGAAGGTAAAATATGATATGATAATGTTACGTATCCCCCGTCCATCAGAGAAGTACAATATACTGGAGTGGAGCCCGTCATGAAATGACTTTGAATCTTTGATGTTTGGAGTCACATGTGGTCCCAAGAAGGATGTCTAATCTGAATAATACACAGTTCCACCCCATCTCATTCCTCCTGCTTGGAATCCCAGGATTAGAAGATGTACATGTCTGGATCGGCTTTCCCTTTTTCCTTGTTTATTTGATTGCCCTTTTGGGGAATATCATCATTCTGATTATAATTCAGAGTGATCAGAGTCTCCACCACCCCATGTTCTATTTCCTGGCAATTCTCTCCTCTATTGACCTGGGCCTATCCACATCCACCATTCCCAAGATGCTGAGTATCTTCTGGTGCAACCTGACAAAGATTAGCTTCCTTGGCTGTGTCTCTCAGATGTTCTTCATCCACCTATTTACTGGCATGGAGTCAGCTGTACTCCTGGCCATGGCCTATGACCGTTATGTGGCAATTTGCAATCCTCTACGCTATACACTGGTGCTCACCAATAAAGTGGTATCCGTCATTGCAATGGCCATAGCCTTGAGACCAGTATCTGTGGCTATCCCATTTGTCCTATTGATTCTGCGATTGCCCTTCTGTGGACACCACATCATAGCTCATACATACTGTGAACACATGGGCATTGCCCGCCTGGCCTGTGCCAGCATCAAAATCAACATTATCTATGGGCTAGGTGCTATTTCAATACTTGTCTTTGACATTGTGGCTATTGTGGTCTCCTATGTCCAAATCCTCAGGGCTGTTTTCCACCTTCCTTCTAGGGATGCCCGACTCAAGGCCCTCAGTACCTGTGGTTCTCACGTCTGTGTCATGTTGGCCTTCTATACACCAGCATTTTTCTCTTTCATGACCCATCGTTTCGGTCACAATGTCCCCCGCTATATTCACATTCTTTTGGCCAATCTGTATGTAGTTGTTCCACCTGCCCTCAACCCTGTTATCTATGGGGTTAGGACCAAACAGATTAGAGAGCGAGTATTGAAGACATTCTCCCCAAAATAAACAATGGACCCTGTATTTCTGAAGACCTAACTCTTTGGGCTTAAAGGGAGAAGTTAAACCAAATCAATATTTCTAAGTACTTTTTGAAAAAACAGGGCAATGAAATCATAATTGTATTGAACAAATTGAAGGGAAAGTTATTTCTTTAGCTCTTGCCACTGAGGAAGTGGTTAACATTTGATGCTACTACTTGCACCAGCATTTCTGCCAGGGTATTTAAAGATCTTTTACTCCAGGAAAGGAGTGTCAGTCATTTGGTCAATTTAGTGTCTCATTACTCTTTGCTCCAATGGAGTTGGTAGAGAGTGAGTTCTAGCCTCAGTGATGAGTGGATTTGTTTTTTAAATTGAATGGGATATTGCTTGGAAGCTGTCCTCTGGTTATGTCAGTCAATGAATTTGCCTTGGTTTTCCACACCAGTGTGTGAGGCTGTTCACAGGTCTCTTTGTTCTGAATTCATGACTTGTATCCTAACAAAACTTGCCCTAAATTGGGAAACAGGAGATGAGACAGTTGTGAAATCAAATCTAGTCTAGTGCTATTAATTCATAAGGCAGCACCTAAATTTGCTCTCTGGTCTATCACCAAAGAATAATGCTGAGAGCATAAGCACAGCCTTTTATAACATGTATCATCAGCAATGTCATATGATGATTCACTGAGGCATCAATAGGAAATACCTCAGTGTAAGATTCTCTTTATAGTAAGCATGAGTAGTCAGGAATTATATATAATGTGCATACATATACACATATACATATGTACATACACACATATACATACACTGGTATAAGAACTAAATCCATCTATGTATCTCTAAGGGGGAATATGGGTGAGAATGAGTAAAAAGGTGAGATACATTGAACTACACCCCAACACCAATCAGGCTCAGAGCACATCTAAAATAGTACCAGTAAGTTTAGTGTCAATTAGAGGCTATTTCCATGGACCGTAACTTATGTTTGGAGAATCAGCACATGAGCATTTTGCGCATACTAAATAATGGACAGTTAACTATTTGACCCTAGAAAAATTGACTTAACCTCTCTGTGTCTCAGTTTTCTCTGTAAAATATGTAAAATGCGGATAAAACACCTACTTCCCAAAGTTCTTGTGAATGTCAAATGATATAATACTTGTAAATCAGTTTGTAAGACTTAAAACATTATAGAAAGTCTAATTATTACTACTACTGCAACTGCTACAACCACCACCACCACTGCAACTATGACTATGACTACATTTGTGACTATGACTACTACTACTACTTTGAAATTCACTACTACTGCTACTGCTACTACTACTACTACCACTGGTGGTGCTGCTGCTGTTGCTGCTATCATCTAGGGAACAAGATTGTGTAATTCAGTAATGATGTTTAATGCTTTTCTCTGTAAAAGACCATAGGCCCTGGAATTCAAATAAAAACCAGGTTGATTGAAAGATAGAATTTTATATTCCTTATTGATGCCATTTCCTATTGATGCCTTAGTGAGTTAGCATAGGAACATTGCTGATGACAAATGTTATAAATAGCCAGTACTTCTCCTCTCAGCACCATTCTCTGGCAATGGACCTGATTTCAAATTCAGGTGCTTACCTCTTAGATCAATAGTACTAGCCTAGACTAGATTTCACAGCTATCTCACCTCTTGCTTCCCAAGTTATCATGGCCTCAGAGAGCTTACATTTTATTAGAAGAGTACCAAATGTCCATGGATCGCTACCAGATTCATGATTTCTTTCTTTATATCTGTTTATGGCTAGAAAGATTGGTCTCCAAGCAGAATGAATTGACCAATGGCCCATGTAAATATGTGGAACAGTCTAGGTTTACCATCAACAAAGTTTGTTATTGAGTTTGAAAATTGTTCTCAGGCAGGTTGTCCCTACCCACAGCAGGCTTTTTTTTTTTAAATTTGTAGAATAAAACAAGCATTTGTATAACATAGTATAATAAAAAAAAGATTATCATACATGAAAGTATAATTCTATTATTCATAACTTGCTATTCCTTTTAAATTTATAATAAAGTTATCATGTATTTTTCTTCCCTTTCCCAACCCCACCCTAAAGATGGCTACCATTAGACACAAATGTGTGTGTGTGTAAATTTATTCTATACATACATCTATTTATTAGTTCTTTCTCTGGATGCAGATAGTGTCTTCCGTCACATGTACTTAAACATATTGTTGTTACTATATACAACATACTCATTTCTGCTCATTTTGCTCTTCGTTATTTTGAGCAAGTCTTTTCACGTTTTCTAAGATCATCAAGCTCAGCATTTCTTATAATATAGTTGTATTTCATCACAATCATATATCATAACTTGTTCAGGCATAATAACATTTTATTGACCTATACACCACTAGAAGTGACCTTCAGCATAACTTCTCCATCAATAAGCACCATGGTTGACTTTGTGGTGTTGATGTTTCTAGAGGGATGGAATTTTCTACAACAAGGAATCCTAGTCCTTTTCACTATGACACATGGATAAATAGACATATTGGAATGGGGAAGCTTTTTAATCTAATCTGGGCTAGTACTATTGATAAGGTTTTACCTGAGCTCATGACTAGGTCTCACCATGAGAAAATGGTGGTAGAAGTCACGGTACTGATACACACACATACATATGTACATATATGTGTGTGTAAACAGAGAGACAGAGCCAGAGAGAGAGAGAGAGAGAGAGAGGAGAGAGAGAGGAGAGAGAGAGAGAGAACGAGAACAGAGTTCCTGTTATGAATCATAGCTATAGATGCTCCCTTTCTTCCTCTGACTCCATGGCTGGCTGATTGCATCTTTGGTGTGCAAGTCCTTTTCAGAAGACCTAGGAAGTAATGGACCTGGTTTATCAAGAGTAACTGGAGGTGATGATACAGTGAGAAGAACATTACATTTAGAGCTGGAGGACCTGGGTTCAAATCTCAGGACCTTATGTAAGTCACTTAGTAGCTCCAGCCCCCATGTTCTTTGCCTGTAAAATGAATGATTTGGACTAAATGACTTTTTAGGGCCCTTCAAACTCTGTCTATGTCATCATAGGATCACTGTGTCCATATCTATATTGCTGTCAATTAAGTCTAAGAATTAGAGACAATATGTAGCCATAAGGGGATTTTTGTCATAAATCTTGATGGGATGAAAAGAACTAAAGGAATCATTTAGAGTTGTGGTGGTGTCACACATAACTAAAAATGGATCCCTGAAGTTGGACTATTGACTTGAAAAACCCCAAATTCAGATTATCTATATTATATTGGGAAATACCACCATTTTGTTTGTGATCAAGATTGTCCAAAGTCTTGAACAACTCATGCTCTATTTTCTGGTCATTCTGTCTTCTATTGACCTAGATTTATACACATCCACCATCCCTAAGATCCCAGGCATCTTCTAGTTCACTCTAATAGAGATTAGCCTTGGAGGTTGCCTTATGCAGATGTTCTTCCCCTACTGCCATAAAACAACTGGTCTTAGATCTATGGCTTATGGTCACTATGTGGCTCTCTACAATCTTCTCTGCTACACTTTGGTCCTTACCAACAATGTCGCTTTCACCATTGTTCTAGTCATCCTCCTGAAACCTTTGGCCTTTTGAATTCCCTTTGTCCTGTTGATCCTCTTGTTGCCCTTCTGTGAACACCACATTTTCCCCATGCTTATTCTTCCAGATGAACAATGTTATTATATTTTTTTCTAGTTCTATAAAATGTTTTTGGTAGTTTAATTGATATGGCACTGAATAAGTACATTTATTTAGGTAGAATTGTAATTTTCATTATATTGGCTTAGCCTACCAATAAGCAATTCATATTTTTTCTCATTTGTTTAGGTATAACTTTATTTGTGTGAAAAGTATTTTGCAATTCTATTTATATAATTTCTGGCTTTGTCTTAGCAAGTAGACTCCCAAGTATTTTGTATTGTGTATATTTATTTCAAATGGAAGTTTTCTTTCTATCTCTTGCTGCTGATCTTTGCTGGTAATATATAGAAATGCTGATGATTTATGTGGATTTATTTCACATCCTGCAAAATTGCTAAAGGTATTTTTTAAAAATATTTAACTACTTTTTACTTGATCCCCTAGGATTCTCTAAGTATAGCATAATATCATCTGTAAAGTATGATAGTTTTGTTTCCTCTTTGCCTGTTCTAATTCCTTCATTTTTTCCCTTCTTTTCTTTCTATAGCTAATGTTCTTAGTACAAATATTGAATAATAGTGGTGATAATGGCCATCCTTGCTTAACCCTTGATCTTATTGGGAAGGCTTCTAGCTTATCCCCATTAAAGTCATGCTGATGGTTTAAATATATTTACTAATTACTAATTACTAAGTATCATTCATAATTCTTCCAATGTTGTTGTTGTTTTTAATATAAATGGTTGCTGTATTTTTTCAAAACCTTTTTCTACATCTATTGAAATAATCATATAATTTCTGTTGTTTTTTGTTATTTATATGGTTAATTATGCTGGTACTTTTCTTAATATGGAGTCAGCCCTGCATTCCTGGTATAAATCCCACATGGTCATAGTGAATGATCCTTATGATATATTGCTACAGTCGCCTTGCTAGTATGTTATTTAAATGATTTTAAATGATATTATATGATAAAATATTTAAATGATCATCAATGGTAAAGGTCATCTGAGCAAAGAAGACATTGAGTCTACAGTCCAGAAGGCTGAGAAAAATGAGGCTGAGGATGAGAAGCAGAGACTCAAGGTGTCTTTCAAGAATTCTCATGAATCTTATGCTTTCAACATGAAGGCTACCATAGAGGATGAAAAACTGCAAGCAAAATTGGTGATGAAGACAAATAGAAGATCCTTGACAAATGTAATGAAGTAATCACCTGGCTGGATAAGAACCAGACTTCTGAGAAGGACAAATTTGAGCATCAGTAGAAAGAATTGGAGAAGGTCTGCAACCTCATCATGAATAAGCTGTAGCAGAGCATACGGGGCATGCGAGGAGGC